GACGGAGCAGTCCTTCAAGATTCCCGTTGGCTGGTACCCATAGTTCGGGACAAAGCTGACGTTATTCCGCAGAATTCATATTCATCCCGTCAGACTAAAGTCGGATCTGATGGCAATGTCTGATGATTCAATATAAATTCAATGTAGAAGCCCTGAAGGTTTCAGGAGTTGTGAGTATGCAGTTCGTGAGTGGCTCAGTAGCTCAGGGTGCATCCATTGTTTTGGAGCTATGATCAATTTCCGCCTTTTGCATGTATTCTGGCAAATCCTCGGTGCCATTTTGATATTGCTAAAAACAACAACATGTACTACGATACTTTCTAGAAGTTAGGGAATACTTGTGCGCAGTGTCAAAATCTCGGATTCGTATGAGCTTATGAGGTGGTACATTGTTTACCTCAGTTACTTCATCCATTGCAAAGGATTCAAAGGGGCTGTGTTACCCAGGACTCGCAGAGTCGTGGAAATCCCGCGCTACGTACAAATGACCCAACTAAATGTTCCAAGACACGTACGTCTGCAAATAGAACCGCTCTTCCAGCGGGGGAGTGGAGAGTACAGTTACAAGTCCCATTAGATTGAAACGTTCCCATGGAGCTGTCTTGAAGACTGACCGACGTGCAACTTGGCGGTGTCAAGTTGTCTCTTACTCCAGGGTGTTGTCTTGATTAGCATCTCTGATTGGACGCTTTTGACATTACTTTTTTATGTTCAATCGACATCTGTCAAGTATATACTGATGAATATAACTATCTTTGGATCTAGTTGAATATCGACATTCAGCAAGTGCTAGCCTTGATGGGTACTCACGGTTTGATCACTTCATCCCATAGTTACGACCCACACTCCATGATTGGATCTCATTAAAAGATATATGCCTATATGAATATTAAGTAACAATGTCAGATATCAAATGCCAATGATAAAGAGTAATAATGAAATCATCGCCGTTGGAGATTCTCGAGGACAACCATTTTCATGGATGAAGCAACACTACCGAAACAGTTGGGAGTGAACTTAGCTGCTAAAACAGCATCTTTATCATTCTCGATCATAGAATGAACATTCACTAGTACTTTATATATATCTTAGGAGTCTTTCTAAATTTGGGTTTAAGGTTGAGCATTTAATAATATCATACCATTTCTCCTTCCAAAGTGGTTGCAGAAATACCTAGCTCTCCAGCTATTACTGTTATATTCCATGTCTTTGATGGAGGATTAAGTTTCATGGATTTCTAACAGTACTTATTTTATTCTCTTTAGTTTTAGACGAGTAGTCGAGAAGAATGCCTTGGAGATATAGATATCTTTCTAGTAGTTACTACTATCCTATTTCTACTCGACGAATGGTAGAGAATAGTATCCTGGAGTTATACATTGGATCAAGACTAATAATATCTTCGCATGGCAATTTCTCAATATTCGGGATTCAACCAGTCATTTATTGATACTCTTTTGACCTATCAGACGACACTCTTGTAGTACCTGGGCTGAAGTTTAACGTTAATACAAGTTCTATTTACTGCAAAAATGGAAGTTGCGAATGCTCAGGAACAGATTGTGTAGTATTCAATTGGAGTAGTTCGAGACCTTATCCTACACATTTTCCAATTCATAATAACAAAAATCATGCATCTATTGTTCAAGATCCAGGTATCAACCATCCTCATCCACGCATCTTCTCTCCTCTACTCCTATCTTTTCCACTCACCCTTCATCCCCTTTGCCACCCTCGCAATCTCAATCCTTCCATCCCAAACTGGATAAACAACCACCGCCAAAATGGCAAAGAAATGCCACACAATCGCCATCACAATCCATCCGCTGAAGAAACTCTTCGTAAAAATCCAATCGCGGTAGAGTGGTATCGGCCACAACACAATCGTAACCAATACATTAACCACAAAAAATACACTAGCAATTTTCAGCCACTTGTTAATATGTTTTATAATTTCGTCTCCGAACGGGTGGACCACATCATCAAGGGGAAGTTGGGAGTTTGGTATTATGGAAGAAGGAGAGGGAGGACCGGCCTCATCTCCGCTGGTAGTGTAGGATTCTTTCTTCGACTCATCTCCCGCATGAGCGACTTGGTTAACAGCTTCATTACTGGGGAGTGTAGATGTCAATGAGCCGTTTGCTTGGCTTTTATCCTCAATGAGTCCAATTCTCAAGAATTCGCGCCAATCAAATTTGCTTGGCCAAATCAACGAAATCACAACCGAGTATATACCCGGTGAGAAAAACGAAACGATAGCTCCATACAACCCTGGGATCTGTACCTGCGTCGTTTGGATATTCAAGGCACCAGACCAATACCAGGAGAGACTGAGCCAAGTAGCTACACCCGACATCAAACCCAAAATCGGTGCTAGTATAGCTGCTAGCTTTGTTTGTCGTGACCAGAGAAGTGTGAAGATCATGGGAAGGATGCCCGGACAAGCGATAATGGGACGGAAATATGTTGACCAATTATTTGTCGCTCCTGCATATTCGAGCATGATAGCGAAGCCAGCCATAAAACAACCATGGAATACGACACCCCAATGACTGACTTTGAGGGTTTTGCGATCTGAAGCTGCGGGGTTGATATAGGTGCGGAAGAAATCGAGAGAGATAATACTGCTAACTGCGATCATGGATGAAGAAACTGTACTTGTGATGGCCATGAATACAAGCACAAGTAGACCTGTGGTTGCGCCTTTACCTAATAAAGAACGAAGGACGTATGGCATTACCATTCCGGAATTTACTTGGGTGATGGTTAGAGTGTTGGGATAGTCGAACCATATGGGAGTTTTTTCGATTGCGCGGGCGCTAAGACCAATAATGGTTCCTGTGCACCATGGGATTGCGATGATGACGATTGAGACGAGATCGTATGCTGGAACTGTCGAGTGGACTTCGGATGCAAAGGATTTTTGCCAGAATGCGGTGTCCATGAGGACAAGGGCAAGATTGCCGAATTTCAGGACAAGACCAAATAAGACGGCTTTGGGGGTGATTAGAGTAGAATTCTAAATGAGAGGGGCGTCGCAAGTCTATAGAGTCAACTTACCGCTCTTGGACTTCATCGTTAGAAGTGATCCTTCATAGTTGCCGGGGATATAGTCATCTGTAGCTTTGACTTTCTCATAGAGTCCTGACACACCCCCAATATGCTCATTGCTCAGAACCGCAAGCGAGAAGTAGATCAAGAGTATCAGAGCAACAGTAGTATGTAAAAAGTCTGTCAGGAACGTCGCTTTCAATCCTCCCACAGCCGTATAAATGACGACTGCAAAGCAAAAGGATCAGCCTCGATCTTTCGCATTCCCATTACCCTCATGAACTTCATCGACATTACTCACCACCAGCCGGAATCAACACACATGCCGCAACAACATGCATCCCCGTCATGCCCGTAACCAACTGCGCACCCGCCAGGATCATACTCCCACAGCCAAAAATATTATTAATAAGATTCAGCACAACAAAAAGCCAGTGCGCATAATTTCCATATCTCATCCGAATAAACTCAAGCGAGGTATGCGCATACGGAACCCTCAATTTCGCTACAATACCCAGCACAGCCATAAGTGCGATTTGGAAGGAGAGACCGCTGGCCCACCAGATGGGGAGGGCGATTCCCCATTTATACGTGTAGGCTGCTGAGAAAACACTCTCGTTGATCCACATCCTAGATGTAGGGTTTGGTTAGTATTGGATTTTCTTGGGGTCGGATCGGAATGGGAGTGAGGTATGGATGTATGGAATTACCAGCTTGAGAATACGGCGGATGCAGTGAGTCCGGTGCCGACGGAGCGATTTGCTACCATGAACATTTCGGATTGATCGCTGTCTTCTGAGAGATATCTTTTTTGGATGCGAACGGCTGCGAGGATGATGAGACAGAAGAGGATGGATAATCCGACGATGATGCCATAGCCGTCGGCTTGGGTAAGAAGTTGTACGGCCATGTTGAAAGTTGAAATTACTTAGCAGTCACCTGTAAAGTGTGGGATAGGCTTGGATGTATAGTATATATAAGTACCATTGTCGAATATATGCGGGCCAGATCTAGTCTCCGCAAGCATGGGTGATGTGAAAATTGACGCACATGTTATCATCAATCGCAATGGCCACCATCACTTACCGTGCAAATTTAGATAAATGAATACCGTGATATACAGCTCACTCTTGAGCGATTATTGGTTGATGATGTTTGTTATTCGTCGTGATACACAAACTGGGTGGGATCGACCAATTGCGTTCATGCAGCTAGTGAGCACGCAAGATATACCAAAGCACCATCATCACCCCGGGATAAGATATTGTGCATTAATCCGCACGACTTCATGTCCAATATCGGAACATTCTTAATGGTTGGGTTAATACCGGTAAAGATAAGCTTCTCGAAGACGACCTCGCAAAATCGATGCTGGATGATTGATCTCCGACTAGAAAGGAAGTACTTTCCTTCCAGAAACAACTGGTTATCAGTTTTGGCTGCGGTCTCCAGCGCTCAATCTTCGATGGGAATAAACCCAAATTTAACAGATGAGAATCCGAGAACGGCAGAATAGAAAGTCTTAGAACATAAAGAAAAGCTGCTTCGTATAATCGTGAAGCAGTCTGATTTTAAGGACAAGCATTTTATTTTCAAGTCAAGATGAAGCATTATATTGAAAATTCTTGAGATCTCTAACAACTGTCGCCAGTCTCCAAGTTCAAATCAAACAACGAGTTTTGTATGATACCATGTAGACTGCTTGATGCTTAAGTTGAAAACTATACATAACCGAGATCTAATGTGAGAACTTGCAGCCTCAAGAAGTTTTATATATCCATGTGAAATATCACAAGATCGCTCCTGACTTCAAGGGGTGCATCTTGAATCGGTCACTCTGTATTTCTCCAGTCATTCAGTCCTTCGACAATGGTTCGGGTGTCATTCTGAAATCCACATCGACGTCCAGGGGTACGCACTGAATAGACCACACATTGGAAACGAACAAATTTGCATGATTTATGTCATTAAGATATCCTCTCATATAAACTATAACGCCGTGAAATGCTCCTTGGGTATTGAACGCCGTTCCATCGACATGGGTAAACTAAATTTTTCCTGCGCTTCTTCCTTACGCTGGGGGTGTCTCATGCACAACAACGAGTATGTATTTTGGATCCGGGACAATCACAAGCTCATGTTTCTTCGTTCGTAGACGCAGGAGTTTAACCTCATCCTAATATTATGTCAGGTTGGCATTCCCGCATCACAGTCCGATTTCGACAAACCTCAACATCTAGTCCCTGCACAAGTCCCCCGGCTGATTTCACAAAACTCCATACCATAGAAGCTAATTCTTCGATACCTTGGCTCTCCGTGTTGGCTGCTGTGCTCGAATCTTCAGTCGCAACACTAGTACTGTTTGATCTAGAGGCTGAACGGAAGGCTGAAAACGATCCCGAGTTCTGAATGATGGTACCACTAGAAGTTTCAAGCACCAGTGTCGCCTCTACCCCGGGTTTCTTAGAGAGTCGTGCAAGAGTCTCTGCCAAAGCTTCTGCGCCGCTGCCCTTCAGTTACTGTTAGTAAATGCTTGCGAAAAATAGAGTTCAATATAACGTACAGTAAGCTGATCGGTCATTTGGGGCATATCTGTTAATGTAGTGCAATCAGTGAGTTGTGAAAACAAATGGGTGCTGTAAACAATTAATGATACCCATGTGCAGGGGTAACATCGGAGTGCGGCGTAACCAGTTATTCCGGGAGCTTAGTTGGGAACTTTTTTATTTTGCAGTCTCCAGATTCTTTCGAAGGCATCATTTTCCATAATAGTAATTATTCGCAATGGGTTCAAGTGCGAGAAAAAAGAGGGAAAAGAAGAAGGACTTTCAAGTAAGAATACTATCCCCTATTTCGGTTTACACAATTGACCCAATGTTTCTAGAAAGTAAAACTTCGAGTTGGCAAGACTAAAGCAAAAGCCGACAACTTTACAGACACCAGTTTCAAGTCCAAATCAATTGTTGTAAATCAACAATCTCTTACAACTGCTGCACCTTCGAATGTTGTACAGTTCACCCATTATCTTTCATTGGCATCGACCTCAAAATCAGACACTCAACGAAAAGATGCGCTCTCATATCTTACGACTCAACTCTCTTCTCAACCCGTAAACGAATCAATACCCATCCCAACTGCTGTTATTCTCCCAAAACTCCTACCTTTAATCCTTGATGGAAATGCCTCTGTGCGAGCACAGCTTCTCAAATTCCTTCGACTTTTACCACCTGCAGATATCGGTGATCGAGCAGAATCCGCCTTACTATACACAAGAGCTGGTATGACACATTTGGCCACCGAAATTCGAGTAGATGCTTTAGCCGTATTAGAATGGCTTCTTCAAGTTGCAGGAGAAGATGTAGTTTCATGTCCGGGTGGGTGGGTGAAAACATTGAAAAGTTTCATGTCAATGATAGGCTGGACTACAAGTAGCGCGACGTCAAAATGGTCATCTGCAAGTAGAGTTAGTTTTGGAATAAGTAGGGCTAGTTTTGAGAAGTCAGGGAAAACTCTTCCAAGACAATTGATGGTGCTTTCCCAATTTCTCAAGGCTGGCCTTGTGGAACCGGAAATGGTTGCGCAGCCTACTACGAAGGGAGATAATTTCCCGCTTTTCGATGTCGAGCGACATATGATACCTTCTAGAGCGAACGCATATGCGCATCTCAATCTATTTGGGTCATCGAGAGATGAAGAAGGAGAAATGTATATTGACAGAGAAGATCGGCAAAGAGTTTTCCACAAAAGATTCGAGGCAGATTTACTCATAGGAGTAGAGCATGCTAAGAGGGAAGCAGGTGAAGCTGGCAGAGCTGCAGCAGTTCTCACCAAAGTTCTACGGGATGGTATGAATGATTATAGTGGCGTTGATGATACCCAATAAAAGGACTTCAAGGTGGAGTTCAAGGTGTTTTACTAGGATGTCGTATACAATGCTGTTCAATTCATTTTATCCAATCTCTCATTTCTTCATTTCCCATCCTAGTCCTGGCGTATCACTTATTTCTATTGTATATGTACCTAGGTGATTCGCCAAACTCAAAACAGGTGGTATATGACTCTCGGAAGTACCATTAAAATTGCCCTTCAATAGAAGCAGCATCATTATTATACAGTTTGATTGTACGCAGAGAAGCTCTAGGGGCGAAAGAAGTATATAGACTTCAGCAATTGCAGAATTTCTTGCAAATCTCAGAATGATCTCACAGAATGTACCTGAAAATGAAGATGTTTCGATGCTTAGAATCCCTTGATGTATCGAGTTCGTTTGTGACCTCTCCGAATTTATCTGAAAAATTGACTTCATGCCAATTGACGAATCATCTGGAATATTCAATTATGAGCGATTCCAAGAAAGGTTCTTAGATGTTTGAATACTTAAAAGATCCAGACAGACAGCTTCAACACTAACCCTAAGAAAGTTAGACTAAATGCACCCCACCTTCCGGAAACGCTCTGAGACCAACAAGACCCACCAACCCACCCAATGCTCTCGTCATGTCCAACAAACACGCGCTTCACTAGGTAACGATGAAATGGCAATCAATATCTGAACATTACATTTCAGAAAGCATCATTGCCAGCTATAGAATAATTTGTGAGTTGGCCGATCTTTATGATTTCCTTTGCCCATGTGTACCTTCATTCGGATTTCTTGTCTGCCCTATCATGCAGAAGCTATGCCAAGCGGTAAACGTGTAGCATTGCAAGGCTTTCACAGCTGGCTTTGAATCTCATCTTACTTAGTAGTTCGAAAGGGAATTTAAAGCTGTTCAATTAGCTTCATGGGTACTTCAAACATGTTCTTATCACCATTCTGGTGTATTCGAACTGTTCCTTTCTGTTGGCACGACGCAATTGCAAGTGCAGCAGATCCCCGGGCTCTCATAGGCTCATTATTTCACCCCTTTTCACGCGATGGCATTGTGTTACTGACCAACAACTATTGTAGGTTAATTTAATAATCATCTTAAGCATCACGTCACTCTCTCTTCTTTCCGGAGACGTCACATGACTCTTCATATCTCTGATATTGCACTTGGTCGATGACTCTTTTAAGCTGGTTGCTTCAGTCAGATACCTTCCACTCAATCTTTTACCCTGAATGTGAATGCCAGATTTGATTTCGAATATCTGCACAAAAAGAAACTGCGACAGTGAGCACTTCTCAATACGTATCCAAGAAAATACTGTCTTTCATTATGACAAGAGTGGAAATTAAGCCAGGCTCGCCTGTCGAGGAAAGGCTAATAAAGAATGAAGATTCTGGGGATGAATCTCTGCAACTGGATTTACCGGATATCGCAGAAGATAGTATTTTCGATGACGTAGATGTCGAAGACGAAGAGTCTGAATATGTGGATGGGAATTTTGAAGGCTTGGTGTTCATTAATGGTATTGAACACTTTGTTTGTCCAGGTAAATTGACAAGTGAAATAATATGCTGATGCCTGCTAATGGAGATATATAAGGGTTTAAGATCCGACAACTTCCTGCACCAATGATCGTCAAAAGGTCTTTAAGAATGCTCTATAATACCATCGTCAAGGGGAATCTAGTATTAGATCCGAACTATCAGAGAGCTAGTGTATGGGACGAAGGACGTGCTTCTACTCTTATAACTTCAGTATTGATGGGATATTTCATTCCTCCAATCGTTCTTAATGTCCAAACAGTAATCAACAAATTGAAGGACGGCCGGAAAGAGGTGAAGCACATGCGGATCTGTGTTGATGGAAAGCAACGCTTGACATCGCTTTTTAAGTTTATGAGTGGAGAGATCGGATTTTTTGACAATTCACACCCGCCGAAAAAATGGTACTATTGTCAACCAACTATCAACGGTGTGTTGACACCGAGTAGCAACAGAAACATTTGTCCAGATGCATTGAAGAAGTTTTTCGACGACAAGGTCTTCTGTTGCTATGAGTACGACCATCTGACACAAGAGACTGAAGAAACTATGTTCCAGCTTGTCCAGCGGGGAATTGCTTTATCGCCAGCTGAGAAAATGAGAGCAATGTCCACTGAGTGGGCTAGATTTACCCGCATATATGAGGATGATTATGCCATGGTGATCAACTGTAAGTCCCCTGTAGTTTACGCGAGGAACATGGCTAATGGGTGATTAGTATCAAAGCAAAGTCGTGCATCAGGCTTTCGTCTTATTCTCACTATATTTACTATGATTCAAGAAGTTCTTTCTGGACCAGCCAACGGTCGAAGGAGGAAAACTGTGCCCTCACTTCAAGCCAGTCCCCAAGCACTTATGCGTGTCCTAGAAGATCCAGAACCAATATCTATGGGTCTCAAACTCGCTTTCAAGGACGTATTCGACAGGTTTGAATCACTGATCAAGTTATCGTCCACGAAGTTACCAGACGGCCAATATGAAGTCCAAAAGAACTCGGTATTTGATCCTGCTCCCGAGTTTCTAAAGGAGGCGGATGTGAACCACGTCCGCACTTTCTCACCACTAGAGTTAGTAGCCACAGGTATTCTAATATCATACCATAAAGACAGGCGATCAGACGACGTTCTTCTTTCAGACATCAAATCCCTACGTCGCTTTCTACGATTGAAACATAAAGATCTACGAGTCAACGCTCAATGCTGGGCCACGGCTTGGGAATTCATCTCTGAGCACGTTCATCGAAATCCCAATCCCCTGAATAATTTTGCACTTCGTTTACAATCGCATCGGGAAAAGAATGGAGCTGCTATCCCTACAGAGAGGGGTATAAGGAGGGCAAGATCGAACTCGGATTCCAGTACGCTGTCGAGTTTAGATTCGCTGTTCGAGGCTGAGGTTGAGCGGGACCGGGATGATTCGAGTGAGGACCCGGAGAGTAATTCTTCCGTGTCTAGTTCGAGTAAGAGGGTTTTGGTTGATTCTGCTGGTAATGAGTCTTCTAAAAGAGTGAAGATGTAATCTTGCATTGTCGGCGCAATGTTTCACGCTGGTTGTTCTCCTGGTGAATCGGCTGATGGGAATTTTGGTTGCTGCATTTTCTCACGTGTAAAGAGTTTTCTGGCCAAGCTTTGGTATGATGGGTAGAGTAGAAGTGTTTATACCGGCGCTAGGCTTCGTGTTTGGGAACCTTGTTTGTGGCGGTTCACAGCAATGCATCAGGAAGGGTGTACATGGTGGAATTTCAGTTTGATTATTGTATGATAGAGATATAGAGCTTTGGTCAATAAGGTTAATACGTAAACAGTTTGAGCTGATCGTGATCATTTTCTTCATGTGAAAAACGTGTGTCATTTTATTGACCTACTTTCAGCTAGACATTGTAACTAACTTGATATCAAACCCTTCGGTCCCGTCTTGTAGAAATTGGATCATGGATGGATTACTCATTTATCCTTTAAACAAGGACATGAAAGATTAAACTTCGAGGGATACATTGAGCAAGGTATAAACAACTACCAAAGTTACTAATATATATTTTCAAAAACTTCAACAATATACATCAATTCAAATGACTGAAAAGTAGTTTGCCAGTATTGGTGGGCCGGTTGCCTTCGTCTGTGTTCGGGCGTTTGTTACCGAGTGGTGCCCTGTCAGACGAGTTTGAAGGAGAGTTGTAACATTAGGGTTTCGACCTGAAGTTTTGCATTTTTTTGGTTCTCTTTCTCTTGAATTTTATCTCTTTTTGTTGGAGTCGTTTTTTTTGGTTATGATGGGCTGTGATGGTGGTGGAGCTTGGTAAGCGAATGATATAAATTTTGCAATACATAGTCACTTGCGATCAATCGGTCTCATAGCAATGTCCTAGCATCACAACTCCCAAGAAGCTCCCAATCCCAATCCTTCAACCGCCCATTCCTTCCATCCTTTCTTTTCTCCTACCAATCTCACTTTCTCCCACTCTTCTCTTTCGACAGACCTCCACTCCTCAATAGGTATCCAACCAATATACGCGCGATCCCCAAATCCTCCTATCCAGTAGATTTCCTGCACAACCAAGCGAACCCACTCGCTATGATGAATATGGTTACCTGGTAACCAATATTTAGCATCGGGGTGCGTGTCGACAAAACATTGTCTTAACTGTTGTTCTTCTGCAGGCGAAGTAGTGATGGGTTCGAGGTATCCCAGGATGCTGAACCGCGGTTGATTGGCCGCCGAAAATGCGAATGGGTCTGGCTTAGAGGATATGCGGGATTTAGGAGGGTAAGGAGGGGTCCAAGATAGGGAGAGAGAGATATTTGGGTTTGAGACTGCGTTTTTGAAGGTGGTTGCTATGCTGAGAGCGAGGATAGTAGGATTGTTAGTTGACGGTTCACAGTCAGCTATGTAGTCCATGAGACCGATGGGGATATTCTGGAGATTGGAGGGGCGGTTTTCGAAAGTTGATGATGAGTTGGGGAAGATGGTGGAGAGGGTTCCGAGTGGCGTGAGATGGAGAATGCGACGGGCGAGAATAGCGCTTTCGCGGGATGTAGGTATGCGATTTGTAGATTCGGTAGAGGATGGATTATTGACAACGTTCTCTGGAGAAGAAATGGCGATTGGTATGGATGAACTGCTTGTAAGTTGAAGGAGAGTGCTCAAGAGCAAGGCTCCCAATGGGACTTTTGAGAGGTACATTGCGAAAGAGCTTGAGGAAGCAGGGTAAATGTTTATTAGAGGTAATGGAGGCCAAATGAAGATGTGTTTATATGATAAATATTCAATATAAAATTGACCTTCACTATGTACTACTTACATAATAAAATGGTTTATAACCTTACCGCTGATGAGATGTGATGGTACTCGTGAACAATCCGAAAACTCGGAAGGGGTTACGGTGATAAACATGGATCTGATAACGATAAAGATCTCTTGGCGTTCATGTGATTGAATCTCTTGCACAGCTCGTTATCAATTTGAAATTGTACCTTTAGAGACTGGAAGTAAAGAATTAAAACCTTCAAAGTTTTGAGATGAGTACAGCACGGTACAGTGTGAGGAAAATCTCAAAAGCTTATTTATGTGTTAATTAATGGAGAAAATGAATTGATATGCTGATTCAGCATGTTCATGTTGTATTGTATTTTTTGGGTGTTTTCTTCTGCGCAAGAAAGAAAATGAAGAACGAGAAGAGAACATGGCTCCTGTATATAATCGTCACGTGATCCAAGACAAAGGGCTGCCTAATTTCGAAAGCCCTAGCATTTTTAGTGCGAAACACCAAGCGATGGTGCTAGAGTAAGCAGCAAAGAAAGAGTATACTGACGCATCTCACGAAATCCATCGACAACCCAACAAATTCAGCAACCGCGTACGTATACCATATTATTTTATCAAATCTACGGTTCCTGCCATCTCTCTAGAATCGCTCGCAGATTTTCAAATTGATTTCCTCATCTCTGCGAAACCGATCTATTTGCATCTCAAGGGGAAGAACATCACCGCTTACATTTGCCACTTTTACAGTTATCGGAAATATCAATCGACAATATCCCGATAAACCGCAATCATGGGAAAGGTTCACGGATCCCTCGCTCGTGCCGGAAAGGTCAAGTCTCAAACACCAAAGGTACGATTCCTCTGATATAATTCTCGATGGAAGTCATGGACACCGAAATGGGCGGGTTGGAGTGGCGAACAAGATCTTGAGGGTCATTTAGGCAGCAACATGGGAGAATGGAAACGGGAATGCGATGCTTTGAAAGGCTGCACATGATTTTGATGAATCAAATCATGCTAATACGATATCACAAATAGGTTGAGCCACAAGAGAAGAAGAAGCGCCCTAAGGGACGTGCTGCCAAGAGAGAGAAGTTCGTTCGTCGTTTCGTCAACGTTACTTTGACCGGTGGCAAGAGAAAGGTTCGACAACACCATAAACATTATCGAATCCAAGATGGTTTGCTAATCCAGGAAATAGATGAACCCCAACCCAGGAGCTTAAATAACCAAAAATTGATGGTTGGGGAACAAGAGGGGCGTTGCTTGTTACTATACACAAGAATTTCACCACGATGGGTTTACGATTACGATTCAGGAATTAGAGAATATCTACTCCAAGTTCGGACGGGAATCCATTGGTTGAAGGGAAAGCAATCTTCTGTAATGGGCGTATATGTACATTTGAGGAAGTGGTTTGCTGCTGAATTGAGATCAATGTTATCTTGATCTTTCTCCGTCTCAATACTTGTCCATTGGTTTCTGCAGATGTGATGTGATATTACGATGTTTTCTTACGCTGCAAAATGATGAAGGCGAACTGGGCAGTCCATTTGTGCGGGGCGTCGGCCGAGGTCTTGAGAAATCGTTATGGGCTGGCCATTGGCCAGGGGTACTAGAGATTCTGGCCACGAATCTCGGTCCCGTATTTTTCATAGGGATCTGACGACAATCAACAAGTTTCGACGTCTTCCTCACATTTCTCTTTTTGTGTTCTGAACACCCGCCACCTACATATAATACACATGCAACGGGCATATCATGACTTGAATGAAACTTTGCACTGAAACCACCATGTTGCTCCCATTACGTCTCAACTGAAATCACTTGTGAAAGATAACAAGATGTCAAAAGATCGCTTACTTTTCTTGACTGCCGCCATGAATCTTGGTTTCAGATCTCTTTTCAGCGCTCCTTACATGATTTCTTGTTTTCTATCCTATATGTACAACATCTTTATTTCTTTCTTCTGATGGCGAAATCGAGGCCAAATTATCGAGGAAGCGAGCTTTAAAGGTGTCTGTTTTCCTTCGTGCTCTCTTTCATTCGTATTTATACAAGTTGCCAGTTCATCTTCGCTCTCTGGGTGTGTGGAACAGAGGCTCTAAACTACACTGAGATTTTCTATGAGATTACGGCACATGATTGTAGCCTCTTTTTTTGCCTCCATCGGACGCTTCGATGACTGGTGATCAATCCAAAACCTACAATATGAAAAGTGTTCAGCATCCACCTGAATGCGCTGTTCAAACCCTTCTCGGATATTGAGTTTTTGATAGTACCTGTCTTCTCGACTGTCATATCTTCCTTCACTCACTCAGACTTGGATTGTTTTCGCTGTCATTGAATCCCTAAACCTGGGTACGGAAAATCGATTCACGGGATGAAATTCTTCAGTACACTGGCGTAGCATAGCGCGGCTAAAATTGACATCTATGTCGCTTCAGTTGTTCTATAATCTTCCTGAATATTGGTGTAATCACCTGTGAGATGAGGTTTCGTGGGATGAGATATCGACAGAAATATCGACCATGGAGGAGCAAATCAAATTCGAGAGGATGGGGTAGGAAAGAGAGGTGTTTTGGATGCAGATTGAGAATGTGTTTTATACATATCATGCTTTTTAGGAGATCTGATCTGTGTCTGTATAGAAAAGATAGATGGCTTCATTTTCTTTCTTTCGTTCTTTCCTTAAGTAGATATTTCAAAACTACTCGTATTTATATCTATCCAACTACATAGCCAGCTCCAAATAACACCTCCAACACAAACACAAACACGTACAAACGTCCGACACATCTTCAACATGCCATTTACCATTTACCAGGAGATGGGATATACAGAATCATATAATATAAAAACACCAGAGAGATATGAAATAAATACAAATACAGATACAGATATAAATACACAAAACCCCTCGATACCACCCACCTGATGAACTTTACCAACCCTCCAACCTCATAACCCTAACATAAGATTACATTTCTGTAATCAAGCCCCCTCCCCCTCCCCCCAAAAAAACTTCATCACCACATCTCCGGGAAAACTTACACTAGCCTACTAGGTAGTCATATAACCCCCCCCCCCCCCCTTCCAGAAAAACAAAACAAATCCAGCACGAAATCTCAATCTCCCCTCCCCTTCCCTCCCCTCCGTCTATCTAGACTTTCTCTCGAGTCTCTAACTTCTACGCAACGGTATCTAATCTAAATTATCTAATCCACCTACCTAGTAATTAATCTATGCTCCAGTCTAGAGAATGGTATTTATAATCGTGGGATCTGGGATCGAGGAGTACTAGGTAGGTAGGTAACAAGTAACAAGTAACTTATCTTCTCTACGAACCTAACAATACCTAGGTACCTACAATCCTCTCTCTCATTCATTCATTGCATTCGCCATGCACACACAAATCCAGATCAAAGTCAAAGTCAAAATCAGTCAATCAATCAATCAATCAAATGAATTAAGATCATATTCTCCTCCAACTACCACTATCTTAGTATCTCAGCCGTCTTCTCTCATATTCTCTGGCCTCTTTCTGTGCACTCTACTACATTCCCATTGCCATCATTGCCATTCCCATCGTAATTGCGATGCCTGCCAACCATCCAAGCGCAACAACTGAATTCAGATCCATCAACCCAGTCCAACCAAAATTCCTTCAACCCCGTGAATCCATCCAGCACAGCCAAGCCAGCATGCTCTCCCCAATCTCTTCATGCCCCCAGAAATAGAAGTCCCTGTAACAACCCGTCTATCCGGATATCAAATCATGTCATTAAAGAACCCTTCAAACCCTTGATGCGCTGCTCCGACAAAAAGACCAAAAATCGATGTGCAAAATCAAGAGTAAAATCAAACCAAGCCAAGGCCAACCCTTATCATATCCACCCACACGTCAACCAACCCAGTACAATCCATACCCATCGTCCGTATCTACTGCAAATAGTTCGCGCGCAGACACAAATACCATGGTCATAATCTCCCAACTCTCAAAAACTTTCAAGCACAGTGCAAAAGAAGAAAAATCAAATTCACACGATCAAAGTCTCATTGCTCTTAATTTGCGTACAAGAGTTAGAGGATCGAATGAGTAGGTAGAATAGAAGGAAAAGTAACATGATATCAAAGCTCTTAATGCTGGAAACAGAAGGAAAAAAAACAAGTTTCAAAAGAGCCTCCCAATAATCCCGCCCCTTCGTGGGGTATATAACCTGAGGTGCATTACGTTGATTCGATCCATTAAGAAAGAAAAAGCATCATCATCGTATCATTTGTATCTTAAAATGTAAAGCGCGAATCCTCGCTGGTATCATAAAAGGCCGAGTATAAGTAACTCCAAGGAACAATCAATTGTAGCCACCAACCCCAGAAAAGATCATAGGAAGGAAAGAACGTCTATTGACGTCATTGGTAAAGAGAACGACAACGAAGCTCGATCAGAGACTCATGGTTAGCCATTCCCATTCTTGAGGACCAGCACCGGAGCCATTAGGTCCATTTTGACTATTCATAGTCATTCCATGTTGTGAACCTCCCATGCCCATTTGCATTCCAGAACCTCCTTGCCCCATCATTGGTCTTGCTGGCATACCAAATCCATTGCCTAGGCCCATGGATCCATTGGTGCCCATCAATCCCATGCCAATAGACTTTGCAGCCTCGTTGCTACCAGTAGAAGCTTCAGGCGAATCAATATCCATACTCTCAATTGCACTAACACTTTTGCTATGTCTTCTTTGTCGCTTAGGTACTGCATTTGATCGAGGCATACTAGATGCTGCACCAGGGCCGGGTGTTGCTTTGGGTGGAGCAGCTGCTATAGGAACCACGCCCTTGCCTCCGCTAACACCTGTTGTGCCTGAAGAAGAGCCCGCAGAACCATGGTAGGAAGTTGGAGTACTGCCCGCAGTGCTTCCTCCATTTCCTAATGAACCTGTAATTGAAGGGGGGCTAGCACTCTCATTGGCATTTCTTCCATGGCTGCTCGTGGGTGTTGTTACTTGAGTTTGCGGGGCTGTGCTGACCATGCTTGTTGCTGCAACTATCGAGTTCTTTCTAGTGTTGGGTCCACTGCTCATTGTGCCTATTTTCTTAGAAGCTCTCGTTGAAGCGCCACCCGAGTTACCAATAGGAAGTGTAGCACCAGATCCTCTATTTCGCTTTTTGATGACGTCGGTTTTTAAGGATAAGGGACGTACAACACCGTGGAGCTTAAGGAAGAGACCGCAGGCATTGCAAAGTGGGTGACCTTCAGGGTTTCGTCTCCAGAGAGGTGTTGTTTGTGTAAAACAATTCGTACAAGTTGTTGGTACCCCATTATCTCCTTGACCAGCTGCCGCTAAATTGGTAGTCGAGCCATGCTTAGATCCACCAGGAGATCCTGGTCTACTGGGTGCAACTGATGAAAATCCTGACATGTTGTTGGTATCCGGTGGTGAATTTGATGCAGAAGGGCCTGAGTTGTCAAACATGCTATTCTGGCCGAGAAGTACTGCATTTGGTGTCGAGGCAGTTCGAGGAATCTTTTGTCTTCTGTCATTTCTTGAACGGTTATCGGAAACAGATTGTGTAGAGCCGTGATGTCTCCCAAGGGAACCTCCAGATCCATCCCACTCTAATGGTGACGACACCATCTCTGTTCCTCCAATGGTGACTTGTTTTCTTGGCGGACCTCCTGGATATCGTGCTGCCTGAGTATTGAATTGTCCTGACAAACTAGCATCCCACTGCAAGCTGCCACTTCCATGCATATCCATGTTCTGGTCGTCCAAAGGTGACTGGGCAAAATCGTGCTGTAACATGAGTGTTCGATCGGCAAAAGCTTGACTTTCATCATCTTCGTTATCGGAATCGGCTCCAAATGAAAACATGTTTTCGTGACCAATCTGGACACCAGGGGATCGCACAGGATGATCGGGTTGGAAGACTTGAGATGGATCTATGTGTTGTGACAGATTAAATCCACCGGCGGAGGCAAAGGAGTTGTTCGAGGGGCCGGAGGTTGTCACTGCAGTGAACATTGATCCTCCGTTGCCGTTGTACATATATTGCGGTGCCATAGAATTGGAAAGGCTTGAAGGCCCTTGATTGAAAGTGTGAGGGCGTTGGTGTCGCATATTCATTCCGTGTGAAAAGTACATTTCCTGTCCCTCTGGAATGGGCTGAGGAGTAGAGACTGTGGAAGGATAAGCGCTTCCAGGAGGAGAATAATAGTCGTTTGAGTTCAAGGAGGAAGACGGCATCGAAGCATTGTTGTACATCGAAGAGAATGGTCCATGGGGAACGAGGGGTGAATGGGAGGGAGAGAAGTTAAAGTTTTGTTGGAAAGGGCCTGCCGAGGTGATAATCGGGTCATTGTCCATGTTGAAAGTGTCTAGTTGAAATGGTACACCTGGCACTCCGTGGTTAAATGGTGGGTGAGATTGATTCAAAGAGTATTCTTGAAGATCATCGGGGTCATTTGGAATCATTATGCTGTTGACTTGCGGCGAAAAATCGGCCGGTCGTTTGCGGGCCTGTTAGTTTTGTCAGTCCCCAACCTTGATGGCGCTTAAGATGTGATTTAATTTTAGAACCACGGGAAAGGGAAAACATACACGTCGCTCATCAATACTTGTTTTCCTCACGTTTCTCTGCACGTAATTAAATTCTTCGTTACTTCGAGGAGCGTGGTGAGGAACCGGGACAGATTGTGGGACCGAAAAGTGCTGTGTCGATTCTTTCCGCATTTTGATAGGAATCGCCGAAGCTATCGAGTTAGACGATCTGTCAATCTCTTTTTTCGTAAGTTCCGGGGAAGGCGACGTGGCGATTCCTGTTGGTGTGGATATACTATCGGAAAGGATATAATCGTCCAAATTCATGGCATCAGAAGTGTCTACAGTATTTTGGTCTGTAGATTTTCTCAGCTGAGCAATTCCACTTGGTCCAGTCGAAGTCTGATTTTGTTGAGATAAACTATTATTACTGTTAGGGTTTCCTTTGTAAACATCAAGGACTCGTCGGCTTCATACCGAGCATTTTCTTCCTCCTGCTTGCGCTTTCGCAGATTCATTGCCATCATGCGCCATGTCAAGTTCTCCAATCGCTCCTGGTTTGGCAGAGTCTTTTTTGTTTTACTGTATAACTTCCAGATCTGTGTTGCCAAAGGATCCTTCTTTTGCATCTCATCCGTGTTATCGAGCTCCTCGCCGGCAGAGCCATCTTTCCAAGTCGGAAAGAAACTCTCACCAAGCAAATCATCGCGCGCACGGCTTGACGCTGGGTGATCCAGTTTGTCTTCCTGAGCTTTTGCGCTCGCGCCAGAGCTCTTTGTTTGGTCGTTAATATTATCGTAAGTAGTCGTTGATTGATTCGCAGATGTCGGTTGAGTAGATTGATTTTCGGGCCTTCGAGGAAATCTATAATCGTGCTGTGTCCCTATCGATTCTGATGCTGTATTATTATTTATTTGCGAGTCTCCACTTGTATGCCAGTCTTCAGATGAGTCGCGGAATCTTTGTAGATACCCCCCACGCTCAAGGTATTGTGCCGTTCCAGGCATTTTGTTGGAGCGACACACCTCCTTCTCGGACGGTCCTCGCCCAATGTAACAGTAATCCCGCAACCGAATCCAATCCTAGGATGCTTCCGCAGAAAATGAGCTTATGGCTATATTCTTTGAATATATTTGTGTTTCTGTTCTTCGGGGGAGGGGTTGTTAAATCGAACGATCCCTTTGAGCACACTTAAATTTTCCGAATTTGCGACGATTGGACGAAGGTCGAACAAATCTAGAGTTGTTTCCAAATATGCACTGTTGGATCCGCAATCTTTTTTTTTTTTCCTGTTAACCCCAAATGCAGCGAGTCAGATGGAAGTGGTGTCGCAAATTTCGGAAATCTTGGCCGAAGATTGGTGGATGACAGACAATTGTTCAAGGGTGTACTTGAGTATTGTTCTTCTTTTCAGGTCGGTATTCGCCAGATTCCAAAGCTTTGGTTCGTGCTGAAAGAATACGAGTTGAATGGGAGTTTCCGAGCGTATACTTGGAAGTGGATAGAATAAGGATATGTATGTATGTATGTATGTGTGTATGTGTGTATGTGTGTGTATACGTGTGTGTATATGTATATGTAAAAGTATTGATGGTAGATATGGTAGATATGGTAGATGTGGTATGGAAGAGTCTTAAAATAAAGTATGACGGTAAATTTGTAATATGAATGTGGGTAGTGTGTGGGCTGTGGATTGTGGGTTGAATGTTGGTTGTAATATTAGATAGTGCGGTCTGTAGTGTAGGTAGTGTAGTGTATTCTGTAGTCTGTGAAAAGGTAGGAGAGAGCAGGAGGTACAGTAGTCTCTAAAGAGAAGTGTGAAGAAAAAAAGAAGACTTCCGATTTCTTTTCTTCAAACCTCAAAGAGACTTTCTTTCTCTTTCTCTTTCTCTCTCTCTTTCTTTTTCTCCTCTTTCGATGATTGACCAGTGCATCCACACGCTTCTCTCGCCCTGCCTTGTCTGTCTGTCTGTTAAGTACTTTTCCCTTCTTCTCTGCTGGTCTCTCGCTCTGACTCGAGATTCTGAGGTTTTGAGTTCGTCAAACAAAATTGGATTTAACTTTGGATCGTGAAGGAGAAAGACATCCAGCAAAGCAATAACGAATCACTCTAATAACATGGGATGGGATGGTATTGTATTATTGTCAATGGATATTCCAGGTTCTGTAGTTCCATATGAAAAAAGGACTGTACCGTAGTATGATCCGGGTGTATTAATTCTTGTCTGCGTATGGTGGAGGGTCAGTGGAGTAGAACTAAATTACTCCCCTCCACCCACTAACAAAAATTGTAGGTGGTCGTACCGAACGAGCAGAGACCTAATATGCTTGCTTCTTTGTGGATATCACTGAAAAGATGGATGGATGGATGGATGGATCATGGGCGGATGGGTGTGAAATGTGGATGGAATTATGGATTCGAATTTAGATGAAATCTATCATGGACGGAGGAAATGGGGGAGAGATCAAACATGTTCAACTACATACATACGAATCCCAAATGCTTGGATCTTGAGTGGCCATCAGACAGTTCATGCTCACGCTGTTGTAGATATTCTTGCTTCGTGTTGGTATTTATCAAGTGCAATCTACATGTAAGTGTGTCTACGAGCACACTTCTCAACAAGGCTCTGGCTGTCGATATAACATATACGGAGCAGATGGTACCGAATTGAAGGCACCCAAACATAGAGTTGTAAGCTAGTCAGTATCACATTGATACATTAGCTCTCCTGTCTGTTGATATTCCACAGCCTCCATTGGCTCAAGATGGATTCGCGTACTTCAGTAGAGCACGAATCACGACTCACGATTCACAATGCAACTTCGAATCTAGTGTCCATATTTAACAAGGAAAATGGTAGCTGCTGGATGCCGCGCTGGTGGAAGACACAGTACATTGGCATCGAAAAGGCTAAATAGTGAAATCGAAAAGCCAAAAGCCAAAAAGCTTCCAGAATCATGAATAAGGTTCAATCATGTCTAGGGAACCCTATTCACGTACAAAGAAAATGAGAAGTCGGTCATGATTCATGGTTGACAGTGAGTGATCTACTTCATCGTGACCGGAGCATAATGCTGTCCACGTATTGATCTCCTCTCAATAATGTAAGGATATCGTATTCCACGAGGAAAGTGGCAAAGGGTCATTGAGGGGTTAGTTTGTGGGTACAATATAATATCCTCCGTCTCCAAAACTTGCCTCTCAACTCACTCACGACTCACGAGACAGAAGGAACGGAGACACTTTCGATTCAATTCTCCCCACATTGGGGACTGAAATAGGATTCAAGGATCATCGCAAAACAAAAAGCCTCTACTACATACATACTGTATGCTGTATGCTGTATGCTGTAATGTACTGCGATGCAATAGCTAGGGATTCTGAGATACCTTGTACTTTACTGCTTTGTGATTGCCAGACAAAGACAGAAATGCTGCATGAAGTTACGATTAATTTGGTTACTTGGGTAAGATTCTGGCCACTGCACCACCGATGTAATCCGTTGATTTCCATAATTTGACATTGATTTTGCCCCCCTTCTATAATACTCGCTTCCCTTCCTCGATACTTGTTCGGGCTTCAACTCATGCAAGATACCTCCCATCAATCTGCACCGTAACAACTACTAGCAAACGCTCTTGCAGCAAATGGATAAAGCCAAAGTGCGTTCTCGTCATTGCCAAGCTCAAAACATGCCCCCTTCATGTTCAACGCAACGCGGACCGGATCACACCAATATAAATTTTCATATAGAATTCGACCATAAGTAGAGTAAGGTTACCAAGCCTGGAAGAATACAGGGCTGTGTTTAAGTCCGGGAAAAGGAGAGGGATGAAGTGTCTATGGCACGTAGATCGGTAATGTCCATGATCGAAAGCATGGCGTGAATCTGCCCTAGATTTTCTTGATCATGGAACACATCCGGTATGCTGACGCCGGACGGTCCTATTCCAAGGGCATCGAATGGCTGAGAGGCGAGGATTTGAAGCTTGACTTTACCCTGCAATTTGTCCCGCGCAGCATGGCTGAAATTATGTGGGTGAATCGCGGCACCATGGGTAGTCCAAGTGGGGGGTGTAACTTATAGTGTGAAAGTCACCTAAACATCGAGACGACAACGGAGGTCACCTCGGTGTGATTTGGAGGAAGTCCGCCGGGAACGAACTATGTTAAAGCCACACGGCTGGCAACAGTACTGATACTTGGCTATCGTATTTCTTCGTACTCCTCCAAGAATGAATAAACGTTTCATGTTCAACAGGCATCGCCAGTGTGAATGGATTTTATGTGCTTCCCCAGGACATGATCGTGGACAGTCATCGAGTTTAATTACACCAAATTGAGTATTAAACATGATCACCAGCTTCATATTGCTCGAATATCATATCCTTTTCAACGATAGTGTCATTTATATTTAGTCCCAGGGTTCTACACTTTTTCTGGGATACCATTGCATTGACTGTTATTGGGCAAGAACAGCATGTCTGACAACTTTAAAATTGTGGTCCTCGTCTAGTTGACATCGGACATAAGATCTTATTTGGGAAGTGCGAGTCTACGAAAGTGGGATTCCGAATATGAAATGGAGACTCAACGTGAGAGACAACGTCAGGGTCTGAAGATCCCCGAAATGTTTGGAGAGAGGGCACGAGATCCTGTTTCAATGAAGGAGGAGGAGGAGGAGAGTAGTGACTTTTGAGAGGAAGAATTTGATCCCAAAGTGAGAGCGAGAGTCTAAGAGCTTTTCATTTTAAAATTTGTCAAAAAGCTAAAGAGTGACAAGAGTTCATTTAAAAAAGAAAACTCTATTCAAACACTTGAAATTAGTTAATTTGGTGTATGTGGCAGACGGCAATGCTGTGTTAGTATGAATTTGATATTTCATCCGGTTTGACCATACTGTGGTTGGTGCATAAGCCTTGTCCACATCAACTTCCCCCTACTCGCCTACTCCCCTCATCTACAAATCCTCGTTTGTGACTTAACTTATAAAGCTCGACATCATTTTGCACAGACGACTAAAGACCAAGTTCAGTTGTCTCGGTGCGTATATATGCAATATAATATGCAAGTACAACAAGCCTAGCTACGAAAAGCGTGTTAAACGATGTACCTTATTCAATTAGCTCGAGCATCGCATGGCATAGAGTTGGGTATGGCGCAACATAGATCACAGCGGAAAGCCGACGATTGAACGGATTAGGTCTGCGAGTCGGACTGTGAAAGAAATGTAAGCATTTCAAATTGCCACAAGCTTTCCCTCTCATTAGTCTCTGCGTTGCGCGTACGTGACAACAGATTCACAATAGACTTGTTCTCGACTTTCGGCGTTATTGCTTCTTAAGAACCAGATCATCGACAAAGCACTGTGAGATCAATTACACATTTGATTTATCCCCTGTCCTCGGTATAGAAAGTAATTTGTTCATCACGAAGTAGACATGATGTTGCCAGGTGAATTTGACGTCAGTACCCCAGCATGCGCAATAAGTATACTGATGTCAATAATATCAATCTGGTTGCGAAAGCGGCCTCTCTCCCGCGTTTTTCGTGGGGTCCTTGTATGCTGAGGAGGGGAGTATGGTATGGTTTGGGGGGGCTTGGTGGGGTGAGACCTCCCTCCATGGACAGATCTTAATCGATGCACACAGACTTCATTCAACCTGAAGCTTCATGCCCATGATGCCATCCATGATTGTTGATCATGCTTCTAGACATGCAGCGATTTCAAGAGCGATGTGACATTTCACTACTATCGAAGTGACATTATAGCTGGTAACAAACCTAGGTACTTCCATTTGATATCATGTTTCTTCATTCGTCACATATATCTCGGACCGATGGTTTCCCAAAAGTGTGTGCTTAACACTTTCATGCCCGTTCGTCTCAAGTGTTTCGAGAGGAGTGATTGGCTGTTTCGACTCTCCAGGGAAGTGGTCGTTAGTTGATGGATCTTACCGTTAGCACTTGGACGCACACTTCCTTCCTAGAACCATACTTCCGGAGCGGGATTGCAGTAATAAGTCTAACTGTGTATAGCAAATAGACCGATTTGAACTTCCGAAAGCTCCCGACAGTTCAAGTCGCAATAAAATAATACGGAATTGCCCGAACTAGACCCATTTCTTATGCTACTTCTCAAGCCCAATTGTCAAAACGAAGGGTAGCGAATTTCGATGATTGTCATTATTTTGTTTGGAGACCATCGGCCGAAACCCATCATACATGGATATGCTTAAACGGCTCTCGTGCATATGGAAGAATAAACCGGAAAATCCTGAGCAGAAGAGCCTCATGCAATCTAGATCAAAGGACCCTTAATATCAGGGTTGACTTTTGGAGCCCTTCGGCGTAACTGTTTAGTATCTTTCGCGCTTCACGAATGGTGGACGGACGTAGCCGTAGACTCTAAGTATCATTAAAAGCCAGAACGCAAGAAATGCGAATTGGAGCTTTGCATAGATCTGTTGAGCGTAGTATAGAGGTTAATTCCACTGTAACATTACCGAAAGTTTCATCGCTTCCTGAGAAATTTGACCTCGGGATAAATTCCGGTTGTCGCGGCTGTAGCGCAATTTCGTGAATCAGTTGTCCAGCTTTCCATGGGCCACCTTGAAACTACTCGACTACCGATACTACCGACGGAAGAATTAAAATGCGAAAATATACCTAACTTGTTTC